CAACCACACAAGCAACTCTTCAGGCAAAAAACTAAAGTAGAATTGTATAAGAAACAAACGCAGGAAATGAGATTGCAAATGATAACAACAATGAAATATATAAAATCACACCAGATAAAAATGGTCACGAAAGCTTGCGCACGCCGACCACGACAAGCATCAATCGAAACTGAAACTGTACATGGAAAATGTACTGTGCATGAAAAATCCTCAACGACGCAAAGTACCTCTCACTGAAAACAAAAATGAAAAATGCAACATATGCAATGTATCCTACAGGCTACTGCTAAGGCAGTGGTACCACATGTCGAAAAAAAACAAACGAAACTGGAGTGTACAAGTCGTGTCGTAGCTACTCTGCGAACACCCTACTGGTACAACGCTACTCTACGAACACCATACTGGTACCAAAATCATACACACCGAAAACAAAGGAAACATCATCTAATACATCTGTAGCACGCTGCACGCACACAACCACTGAGAGCCTAACAACACTAAGACAAGACGAGACGACAAAAAAAACTAGGACCGCACAACATGACGAACCTCAGTCCGAGCAGGGGAAAAATGAGTGTTGGCCTCATCAGTCAACGACGCTTCTTCCCCTTCCCGCTCTGTCTCCTCGTACCCCCTCGTGTGCCGGATGTCAAACTCCTCCTCCCTCGTGATGATGAAGAAGTCTGCGCAGCGTGCCGTCTGGCTGCACCTTTCGGTGGGGGAGGTGGGGGCTCGTGCTCGTCGTGGTCGTCGTCACCATCGGAACCTCTCTCGCTCTCCTCCTCTCCCTCCTCCTCGTCCTCATAGTCCTCGTCCTCCTCCCGCACTGCCACATCTGTCTCAGGATCATCCTCCTCGATGGTGACAGGGGCTCCTGCCTTCCTCAACACAACAACCCTCGCACTAGCCTCTGTAACCGTCTGCTCACGGCGCGATCCACGAGGCATCCCCAACCCCTCTACCCCCGAAGTCTCTCCAAGTGCATCTCCTCCCTCTGCAAGCAAGGGGCGTGGACGAGGAGGCACTCCACGCTTGCGTGGAGTCTGCTCATATACGGCACGCATCGCTGCCATCAGAGCGTACTCCAAGCTATCGGCGGACACTCCTCCGTCGCGACCTCGATGAGGCTCACAACCTGATGCTGCCACCTCCCTCGCTGCGGTCATCCTGCCGCCGCGGGGTCCCAAACCCGGCTGTAGACGTGTAGTGTGCTCCGTGACACGACGGGTGGAATCCAAATCTATGTCTGTCCTCCCGAACAACACTGTGTCACTCACGTCCCCCACAATGGCTGTAGTGTCCCGAATCCTAGACCTCCCAGGCGTGAGTGGAGATCGAGAGCCTCTGCCTATGGGCGACGATGACGGATCACCTACAAGTGGTCTAGGAGGAGGGGGTGGCATGTCTCGTGTACGTGGCGCCGTCTCCACGAAGCCACCTGAAACCCCTGGAACATCTCCCGCCGTACGTGCTCCGGTAGAGGTAGACCCAGACCACACCGACGATGCAGGACCCCATGGAACTGGAGGGATCGCCTGCCATGGTGGATGTTGTAGCCTCTGGTCAAAGACCCGCCGGTCCAAGCGAGTCACATCGAGGACAGCCTCTCTCGCCAACTCGTCTGCATTCAAAGGACGACGGACCTCCTGCGGAGCAAAGTGACTAGGAAAACGCGGTGGCGCAACCACCGGCTCGGACCCCAAATCCGTGATAACGGGCGGCGGCACACCATGCACTGCCACCGGCACCGGCTGCGACTGTCGGCCCTGAGCCAAGTACAGACCCGAGAACGGAACGACTAGACCCGTCGTTGTCTCCCGGACCACACATCGTGCGTCACCCACACGCTCATCGCGCCGCCGTCCTGCCTGCACAGCCTCATCCACCGCCTGTTGCAAGCCCTCCACATGAACATCCG